GTGGAGTCCAGCACACTGACACATCCCAGTCACAGGGCTCTAGACTCTCACAGTCCCTGTGGAGTCCAGCACACTGACACAGCCCAGTCACAGGGCTCTAGACTCTTACAGTCCCTGTGGAGTCCAGCACACTGACACAGCCCAGTCACAGGGCTCTAGACTCTCACGGTCCCTGTGGAGTCCAGCACACTGACACAGCCCAGTCAAAGGGCTCTAGACTCTTACAGTCCCTGTGGAGTCCAGTACAGTGAAAGAACCCTGCATCGGATGACCTGAATAGCTCCTTCCTGTTTGCAGTCTTTGTTGTGCTTCTATTGAATACATTGTGAGCTGATTGTTTGTACTTGCGGTTTAGTCACAATAGGTTTAAGATCTTATTAGGAGATCTTTACAGTATACCTAATCTTACCCACTGTCATTCTGTGGGAGAGCTATGAGTATTCCCAGGCAGAGATGTCCAGAAATTAGCCCCCTTCCCGACACCAGGACACCACAGAGAGGGAAGACACCTAGAGCCAGAGAGCTCCGAAGGGAGCTGAGGTCACCCACTCCTTCAGACCGCCTAGGTCAGCTTAGCCATGGAAGAGGAAAAAAAAAAGATCAAAGGCAGGACAAAATTCAGCAAAATAAAAAAGGGCCTGAAATATGTTCACTGTCATTTTTCTTCTTCACATAAGCACCTCCAAAAGGCAGGACGAGAAGTAGTGGATTGTGTTTTAAAGGTTTTCCATTTCAAAACGATTTTTTTCCTTTCTTTCCGCCTTGCATCCTGGGACACTCCCGTAGACAAACTTTCTGTGCCCCGTTGTTATAGCCCAAAGCGAGTCGAAGTCGAAGACACCGGGCAGTCTGACAGGGAACTAAGTGCCTCTCGCTTGCCTCCTATCGCAGATGGGAGAGGTTACTTCCAGATACACACTGTTTCATGTTCGTGCATTGCCAGCTGATGTTTTTTAAAGCTAACATTCAATTCCTTCCTTCTTATCAGCCCCCTCCCTTATTATTCCTGATGTGATGATGGGGTGTAGTTTCAGACGACGTCTTTAATAAAAGAAGAGAATACGCGCTGGAGTGTTTTTTATGGAAATGTCGGCTGCCGGCTGACGAGTTTGGACGGTGCTATCGCCTGCCCCATCTCCCCGCACGCCTCTTTTCAAATGTGATCAGCTCAAGCTGCCGTACCTCTGTGCTTCATTAATACTAGTTAAAACGACTTAATGTTTTTGCATAATCCTACGGGTAATTGGTCCCTTAAATACATGACGACCTCAGAGGAAAATACGAATTATATTAAGGACGCGTTTTTCAGATCACAGATCGGAAGACAAGAGGACACCCCCGAATGCAGCAGAGCGAGTTCGTGTTTTCTGTCCTTGAGGTCACTGCTTGCGTTCCCAGCTCATTTCCTGACTGTGCAAAAAAACAAGTTTACGAGGTCGGAGCAGCGCTGGATTTAAACGATCGGCGGCCGGTGGGTCCCAGCTTATTCCTTTATGTAATGCATTTATTCCTCGGTTAATAGTGAGGAGAGCGGGGACACCGGTAGTCTCTTTCACACACTCCTTCCCCCCCCCCGCGCTAACGTCCCACACCTCAAAAAAAACCCACGAGTGCTTTCCAAGTCGCCACGCCCCTTCCTCAGTCATGTAAATGAGGGCTTGCAGGCCAGTTGTCAGCGGATTGGTGGAGGGACGAATACTTTATCACTATAAACCCGCATGTGAAGTAGGAAGAACTTTTTTTTCCCCCATTGAAGTGTTTTGGGATAGCAGAGAGTAGCCAGGTGTAGCAAAGCGACGGAGAGAAACGGGGGGAGAGAGAGAGAGACGGGAGAAATGGTTCAAACTTTTTTGAACAATAATGACGAGTAGAGCCGACGCCTCTTAACCCTGGTATGTTTATGTCTGAGCCGGGTCTTTCTGTTGAGTAAGCCGACTGGGTTAAAGTAATTTTCGGGCAGGTGAGCAGGACTTACCCGCGGGGCGAAAAGCGCCTGAAGTGGGGCGGCCTCACCAGCTACCTCCCCTGAACTGCGAGGTGAATGCGGTTTGACGAGATTTTGGTCTGCAGCAAACCGCTCCCTTCCTCCTTATTAAGCGCGTCCGTAATATCTCGTGCATTTCTGCTGCTGCCGCGCGTGCTTCTGAAACCACGCCATGTACAGTATGATGGAACACGAGCTGAAGTCTTCGGCGCCCCCGGTCCCGCAGCCGCCGCCGCCTCACCAGCCCGGCCCGGGCATGTCCCCAGTGAACACCGGCGTGGGGAGCAGTCACCCGGGGGCGAAAGCCGCCTGCCCTCCCGGCGCCGGAGGGGACCCCATGGATAAGGTGAAACGGCCCATGAACGCCTTCATGGTTTGGTCCCGGGGCCAGAGGCGGAAGATGGCGCAGGAGAACCCCAAAATGCACAACTCGGAGATCAGCAAGAGGCTGGGAGCCGAGTGGAAGCTGCTGACCGACGCCGAGAAGCGGCCGTTTATCGACGAGGCTAAGAGGCTGCGGGCGCTGCACATGAAGGAGTACCCCGACTACAAGTACAAGCCCCGGCGCAAGACCAAGCCGCCGCTGAAGAAAGACAACCCCTCGGGGAAATACCCGCTGTCGGCCGGCAACCTGCTGGCCGCGGCCGCCGCGCAGGGTCCCGGGGGCAGCCCGCGCGTGGATAGCTACGGCTGGGGCCCCACGGGGGGCTACGCGGGCATGCAGAGCGAGGCCCTCGGCTATCCCCAGCAGCTTCACCGCTACGACCTGTCGGCCCTGCAGTACCCCCCTACCATGGCCACTGCGCAGAGCTACATGAACGGCGCCGGCTCCTACAGGTGAGTGGTTGTAGACCGCCGCAAACTTCCTGGCTTTTCTTCCAAGTCCGGAAAATGTTCGACTGCTTTTCACCGAAACCCCCCCTTTACGGGTCGAGTTGAGCGCCTGTTTCAACGCCATCGCTTTTATTCAAACTTCATATGTTTCGCTTCAAAATGATCAGTGCGGGGTCACCGGTAATCGTTTGAACGCCGTGCAGGTGAGGAATCAGAAGACGGGATAACTGAAGTCGTACTTCAGGAACGGGAGCTTTCACAAGAGCTGAAATTAGGTTGCAGCTCATCAGATTTCGGGCAAGGTGTTCTTTCATGAAAGGACTGTTTTATCTGGTGGCGGGGCGGGAGAGAAACACGCTGATGGTGCCCGTGGCATGTAAATCGAATTGGGCTTCACCTTCGCGCAGTTAAAGCGGGCTGGAGTCCGAGTGGCTGGGGGGCCCGTGTGTTCCGCGCCCGGAGCGCGTTCACAGCCCTGTCCCGGCACGCAGCGCCTCGACCCCCCCCAGCTCCACTCGGCCGCTTGCAGGTAAACGCTGCTCTGATGTGACCAGTAGACACACTGTGAAGTCTTCAGCCAGGACGTTTCCAACGTTTCAAAGATGACAGAAATCGAAACGTTCGACTGCGCTTGCAGGACTAGGGCGAGTTCCTCTTAAGGCCGAAGTCCCGTTTATGTTCTGACACGGTCTTTACTTGGGATCGGGAGGTACATTACCTAATTCCCTAAATTTACCCCTCCCTGGTGTCTACTGTAAATGAAAAGGTAAGATGGGATTCTTTGCACCGAGACAGCGAGATGACACTAGGTTAAGGTCGTGCTGTTGCACCTCTGCGATCCAAGAAGAAAATCTTTTAACGCAGTGTTGGCGTCGTGTTTAGCCGACGGCTTCAACCCGGGAAGCCGTATCGTTTTACTTCACCTACGCAATCAAGTGAAGTTATGCATTTGTGAAAGTCCGTGGCGCACCCTTAACCTGACAACACCACCTCGTCCTGTATACATGACTCCTAACTTTCATAATGCGATTTCCTTTTAAGCGAGATGAAGTCACTTCGCGAACCTGGTCGACTCTCCAGGCGCGGAAACTTTTGACGTGGAGTCTCGCGGCACCTGTGACACGGCCCACGTGTTGTACCCCCGGGTAAACTAAGCCCTGCTCCGGTGTCGTCTTTGAAGACGATCTAAAAAACGTTACTACCTGTTGCTCGGGAGATAGTTCCTTCGGAATGAGTTTCCCCTGGATTTATAGAAAGAAGTGGCCAGAGTCCCGATCACGCGTGTTGGGCGGGTCGCCCCTTAAACCGATATCTGACCTCTTGGGGAAAATTTAGCTTTGTCAACGTAAGCAAAACTAACCGTGTGAAATTTTTGCCCTGTGAAATAAATCCCCAAACCCTGAAAAGCCCGAAGTTCACCTTCCCCGGTTGAAACGAATCAAATGATTTACTGAGCTGATCAGGAGCCACCCGCGTTCTGCATCTTAACGGGGTGATCTAAGGGCCCGAGAGCTGGTGGGCTGGGGGGGTCTTCAGGACGAGGTTGGCCGCTTGAGTATATGATTTAAAGCCAACTTATCGTGCTCGAAAACCTCTGGTCAAGGACTATTTCCGGTCGCTAAATCGTTTTAAAAATGCGATCACTTCTGGGGGTGGGAGGCACATATAGGTGTACTCAAAATATCGACACCTTTTAAACGTTGTAAAAATAAGTCCAGATGAGTTCTGCGCTTGACATTTACCTTGAAAGAAATGTTATAAAATCTTATAGTTAACATATGGATTTCTTTCATCGCCCCGGTGCAATCGGGCTATGTTAACTGCAGTGCTTAGTTTAATTCGCAGATCGCCGAACTCCTCTGACTAGGCGAGGGAGCGTTTGAGGTGAGGTGTTTGGCAACTTTTTCCCTCCCCAACAAATGTTCGGGCAACACGAAGGAAACTATTTGGTGTTGCATTCGTGTGGCGTATTTGTTTCTGATTCATGTGCATTTTCCCCAAAATGGCGTTCTGCTTTCTAAAGACGGTGGTTTCAGTAACCACTTGAGCAAGTGGAATTGGGTTTCAGGGGGACTTTTGTAAACCTCCAGGAGCGCAATTGTTGTCTGGTTGGTCCGGTGGAGTGACCAGTCCGTCCACATGACCTTAGCTACAGCAAATAGACCGGGGCATCAAAGCGACTTGTACAGTGACGTAACCTGGATCCCGGAGGTTCCGAACCTTCCGCGAGCTTTAATATTTAACAAGGGGCTGCCACTTTTAAACGCCTTTGCTTATCGGAAAGATTATAACACACCTCCCCCACCAAGCACCTACGAATTCCAGAAAGGAAAAGATCCCTTTACCCTGTGGGGGAACCCCCCTCCCCTTCTCCCATCTACATGCATTTTGCCCGCAGGTTAGGCGAGGACAGGGGACGCGCTGGGAGTGGGCCGAAACAAGAGGACGGTCAGACTGTGTCGCAGGTTTTAAACGCTGCTTTCCAAGACGGGTCTGTTAATGGGCGGTCGGGGAATGTAGCTATTTCCCCCTTCAAAGATAAGGGAATGCCTTTTGGTAGCTAGTACACAATAGAATACCCCGTTTGCTTGAGCGCAAACAGGCAGTTCTGTTTAAACGCCTCGAGTCGCAATCGACGCTTTTGTGCTCCTTTCGCAACTTTAAAGCAAACCTAGACAGGCCGGTCTGTTTGAAGGGCAGCTTACTGGACGCACGAAACTTCATTTCGGCATAATCTACCCAAAGATATCTCCGACAAACCCACGTCTTGCAAGACTTCCGTTTTATGCCATCTTGTACTTGCCGAGCCTTAACACGTACAGAAATATTTGCTCGCATGAAGTGGTATTTGAGGACCGGGGAAAACTGGAAAGGTGAACGGTTTTAGTTGATCGTTTTATCAAATGGGCAAGTTGGTACATAAAGACTACAGGTGCATTACGTGTAAATGGTTGAATTCAATGTATTATCTCAATGACTGTATTAGTGTCTGGGGGAGACGGGGACGCGTCTCCCACACTTTCCTGCTGACAAGTCTGGAGATGAAGACAAGATGAGGTTTGTCTTTCCATTCCTGGAAAGTGAGCATCGCCCGTAACGCGGCCAGGCCATGCGAAGGATTCCTCTTTCCGATGCGTCACTGAGCCGGTGGAAAAATAAGGTTGGATCTCCTTCAGTACCACTCTCGAGACACTCGCTCTGAAGTTTTTCCCCCTAGCCCTGTTTCTTTTCTCAATTCCACCGCCTGGGCAGATTGAGGATCCGATCTGTTCCAGACCCTCAAGCGGCTCTCGGCGTAAAATAGTATCTTGCGCTTAGGACAGCGTTTTCTCTAAACTTCGCTTGTCCTCGTGTCCTCGGGGGGACTGCATGTTTTAGCAAGGAAAAATGAACTATAGTCAGCTAGCGCACGGGCCTTTCTTGTAACAATGGTGAGCAGTCTGACTTCGTAATGGGGAATAGATGAGGTTATTTTTGAAAGTGATACCCAGGTGTCTTGGCGACCTCACTCTGCCATAGATCGTTTTATAATAGTGTCGAGTCTTTAAAATTTAAAGAAATGATCAAAGTGCCTAACTCCTGGTATTTATATCTGGAAAGCAACACAACCTGGTGTAGAGGGGCACTGATTTGGAAACGTAAATCTTACTGGGTTCTTCGACTCAATGCGTTGTTTCAGCTGAAGCTAACATTTTTGACTGAAACGTCATTGCGTGTTTTGACACTAAATTAACGCTCTCGTGTGTTCCATGTGATCGAGACTGACTTGAAAAACTTTCGGGAAGTACAGTATTGCACTTTCTGCTGGAAGAGAATTAGTCGTTTAAAAGTTGAAGCCTCTTTTGCGGTTGGCATCCTATGGTTTTCGGTGTCCGTCACTAATACTGAAGAAAACGGGGCAGATTTAATCGTATTGAAACCTCTTATTTATTAAGAGTCGTGGGTTTTTCTTTTTTCGCTATATTTCCATTCCGTTAAATTTCTTATTTATAAAGCACGATATCATGTAGGATTCTTAGTCATTTTTGTTTATACAAAGTTTTGCAATCGTCATTCAAAGACATTGTGTGAATCTTCGAGCGCCTTAATTCTTGTTTGTGGTAGGGAAATATTTTCCGTTGTAAATTGGTATTAAAAACGTTCCAGATATTCCCAGTAGACTTTAAAAGGCCTACATGTTGCATTTTGAGCAAAAAAAATTAATTCGACTGCTGCACTAAAGTGTCCAGTAGTATTATTGCGGGACGAATACGAGTCTCTTTTACTTCGGATGAACGCGTGAGCCGAATCGGCAGTATCTGACTCGTATTCTTGTGTATTTTCTCACCGTGTGACGATAAGCTCGCCTGCAGGTGACTAGGAAAAGATTAATCGTTGTAGACGAATATTTTTCGATTAGGATTTGATTACAGGATTTTTTCAACGGGGAAAGCGATGGGAGTCGGTTGAGGGGGGTGGGGTGGGCGGTGTTTCACCGAGACAACGAATTTGTAGGGGCTGCAGAAAATATTTTTGGAGAGCATATCTCCGGGTCCAAACCCGCGAGGGTCGCGGCGGGACCGCAGTCTGTCGTACTGACTTCGCGCTGCTCGCCATGTTCAATCTTCTGTAACCCTAATTTTGTATCGAGACCCGCTCGATTTAACAAAAGCTGTCCCACCCTAATGGAGGCGTCCATTCAGTTGTGGTGTTTACCAAATACTCTAAACGCTGCCTCTGTTTACCGGACTTTTTAGAGTATAAAGCAAACAGATTAAGCCTTCTCAAACTCTGTACGTTTCTAAAATAAAAATCCGATTATAATGAACTCTGTTCTTTAGGGTGTAGCCTTTCTCCTCACTGTAACAGATGCTGATGTACAAAAAGATAATAGAAGTTGAATTTTATCAGTTTAAGAGAGCGTTTGGGAGAATAATAAAAATACGACTTACGAGTAAAAATACAAGTAATATTGATCACTAAACCGATTTGTTTTAATTTCCGTTTCCGTTTATTACGTGTTAATTTTAAATCTTTTGGTTGGAGATGATTGCCATACGGGCGTCTTGGGCTGTATATCCCCACATCTCTCTTTTTTTTTTGTTGTTGACGGAAGCTTTCATTACTTTGAAAAGGTCTGCCTATATTGAAGAGTTGACCGACGGGTGATTTAATCATCGAGAAGCGCCTGGTTGTTCGCACGTCTGCGGGCGGTGAAACGAGATGGGGTTGAAACCGTCGGGTTTCTGAAATGTCATTTATCCAAAGTCAAACCGATTGGAAAAGTAGGCGAAAACCCCTTATCGTTGCAGCCGAGAGTTTGTAAGTTTACAACTACAAAGAAAAACCGAACTCGACGCCCTCGGTCACTGTGCTTTAACTTCGAGTTTTGCATTGAACTCGATGGTGGCACCTGTCACCTGGAAGAAGTTTTGCAGATCTCACTCTTGTCTCAATCGAGTCCAGCGTCGTCTTGAATACCGGATAGAGCGAGCTGAACTTTTTTTTTTCCCCCAATACGCCTCTTCAGCTTTTCAATACAAAACGAGTTCCTCGCACAATATTTGTCACTAAATTGTCATGTCGGAGCCGAGGAGTCGTTTTCTCTTTGAACAGTTGGAGTTAACAATCGGTTCTGGATTGTGGCGGGGG